TTTTTTTTTTTTCAACAAAATTTTGTCGTGCCATAAGTTAACTATAGGGTACTTGTATGAATTGTAACTTTCATTCAGTTTTTTCATGCGATTTTAGAGCACGAATGTGATAAATGTACTTATCATTGCAGTATTATTACTTTGTTTGTTGAAAATAATGCTGCATAAAAACGCATAAATACCTATGTACATGTGTGTATCGGTTACGCAAGTGAGATTATCGACGTGTTTTAAGGAAAAAAAAAAAAAAAAAAAAAACGCCAAGTATGTACAACAGTTGGTTTAATTGAGTACAAGTGGAAAATTGCGCTCCATTAAGTATATAGGATACACCAGCGTATCTATGCACTCCCTACGTAATGTGTACACGGACACTTGGTGAAGTATAAAATAATACAGGGGGAAGGGGGAAATTGGTGTTTACTAATGGCGATGATGCATATTAATTTCAGCGAAGCAGCTTTGGTGCTCATACCGTATCACAAGTTATGCATAGATTGAGGTTTGAGCTGCATATGAAAAATTGCTATTTATGTAATGCAAAAATTATTTTACCAGAAAAATTTTCATTTAGAAGTGAAAAGAAGGAGCAAAGTAAGAGATACCGGGTATTCGAGAAAATACGCTTGTTTAACGGATAAGTAAAAAAAAAAAAAAAAAAATGTGTGACACGTATATCAAACATCAACGTTGCCTATGTAGTGCTGTGACTGATTGACATACGACACCCATATAGAAAGGAAAGCTATTCTCCAAAGAACAATAAGATATAGGCAAGATTTATACACAGGAGAAATAAGAAAAGAGGGTCACTTGATAACGATTTTCCGGATTATTCACAAAAATGCCACACTATCTAATGTCATTTGAAAATTTTTCCCCCCTAACACCATCACTATTCTTACTCCATAGCCGTACTCCTAATAACGATAACTCAAATCTATCTCTCGACAATAATAACCCTCGCGCTGACCTGTGCATCGATATATAGACATGTATACATGCAACGTCATGAAAACGATTTTTTAATAAGAGAAAAATCTAGAATATACTGTCAACGAGGAGACCATGCACGACACACATGGAGGCAAAGAGAGACGGAGCAACGGCCTGCTGCATAACTCTTGTCTCCGACCAATCCCCGGCGACGATTTCTGCAAATATTTTTATCGACTCGCCGATATTGGACGTCTATATAAGCCCGGGCACGAAGATCAGCCGATCCAGAAGTCGACAATTGTTTATCTTCCGATTGTCACCACACTCGTGCGCTCGTTTTTATTGTTGTTGTTGTTGTTGTTGTTGTTCATCCACTCAATTGTCGAAGCGCAATAGGCCAAAGCATGGAGATCTTCGGAGACGCCAAGACGACCGGCCTCGAGCACCTCACCCTCGAACAGATGCTCGAGGACAATCTGCCCGAGCCCATCCTCAAGGAGGTCAAGCGAATCATCTATGGCCGCGAAGTCGAGTACTGTCGCACACAACAACGCGATTCCTTTTCAAAATAACACTTAAAAAATGGCACAAATGATGTTTCAACCGCATACCGATTTCCACCAGGCCGATCGAGCTGCCGAAATTCGAAAAGGGCGTGCAGTGCGACCTCAAGGGTTTCAAGATGGGCGGTGCTGTCGAGGAGCAGTTGAGGCCCCCGAGGATCGTGCGGGTCGCCGTGATCCAGAACTCCATCGTCCTGCCGACGACGGAGCCGATTCGAGAGCAGCGCGACGCCATACACAAGAAGATCTGCAAGTACATCGAACACGCGGCCTCGTGCGGTGCCAACATCGTCTGCCTCCAGGAGGGCTGGCGTGAGTATATACTTTCACTACAGCTGCCACTTTACCATAGAATTGGATGCACATAAATATGTACACGCAGTAAAACGTAAACTAACCGATTTTCCAATAATCCGCAAGCATGTATTGTGTTTACATGTTTCGTCTCTCCACAGCGATGCCCTTTGCCTTCTGTACCCGGGAAAAGTACCCCTGGTGCGAGTTCGCCGAGGAGGTGGACTCGGGCCCGACGACCGAGTTGATGTGCTCCTACGCGCGCAAGTACAAAATGGTGATAATATCGCCGATCCTCGAGCGCGACGGTATCCACGGCGAGGTCATGTGGAACACGTCGGTGGTGATCGGTAGCGACGGCCGAGTGATCGGCAAGCACCGCAAGAACCACATTCCGCGTAAAAACGACTTCAACGAGTCTACGTACTACATGGAGAGCAACCTCGGCCACCAGGTCTTTGACACCCCGTACGGCAAGATAGCGATCAACACCTGCTACGGGCGTCACCACCCGTTGAATTGGCTCATGTTCGGTATCAACGGAGCGGAGATCGTTTTCAATCCGAGCGCCACCACCAAGACCCTGTCGGAACCGCTGTGGCCGATCGAAGCGCGCAACGCAGCTATTGCCAATGGCTACTACACTTGTGCCATCAATCGAGTTGGGACGGAGATTTTTCCCAATGCTTTTACATCCGGGGATGGAAAACCAGCGCACAACGATTTTGGACACTTTTATGGGAGCTCGTACATCGCGGCTCCCGATGGCACGAGAACTCCGGGGCTGTCGAGGAACGAGGATGGCCTGCTCGTCGCCGAAATCGATCTCAACCTTTGCAGGCAGATAAGGGACTTTTGGGGCTTCAGGGTGAGTTTTTTTTTTTTTTTTTTTTTTTTTTTTTTACATTTTCATTTATCGGTAAAATGTTGGACGTCGTGGTTACACGTGTCGGTAATAATTAATACTTGCCATGTCGTGATGAGGTAGGAAGAAAAATCGGTAAGGATAATTTGTAATTGTCGTATATGATTTAACTCGTGGGGGAAAAAAAACAAAGCGATTCAAGTACTCCGCAGGTATCCTCGAGTAATCTTATTTGCTTGTCATTCAATATGAGTACATTTTATTAAAATAATTCAAGATTGTTACTATTATTATGTGTTACAGATGACTGCGAGACTCGACATGTATGCTGAAGCTCTAGCCAAAGCGGTGAAACCTGATTACAAACCACAAATCGTTAAGCAATAAGTAAACAGTTTATGTATACTTGCTGTAAAAAAAAAAAAAAAAAAAAAGAACAATCATTTTAATTTCAAACGTGCTTGACTTTTAAACGGGATCGTCAAATGTTTGTCTGCAGAACACTGTATTTTTTACCGCTTTAACTTGTTGATTTAATTATATCGATCAATAGTCATTTGAATATTTTAGTATTCACATGTTTTTCTATATTTTTATTAATAAAACTGTTGAAACAATTCTATGGAGGGACGCATGTTTACTTTTTTCCTACAATCATGTCACATCATTGATGAACATAATCACACATACTATAATAATAAATATTTTTCATCCGTATATGTTAGTTCTATGGGTTCAAAAAGTAGCCTCGGTTTTGATTTATACTGTACGAAACTCGTGACAATGCATATTAAAGCTACCCACAAAGGAACGATGCTAACTATATTGTTTTATCAAAATTCCGTAAATATGCAACACAACGTATATTGTCATTAATAAAAGTGTACGCCCTGATTGTGTATTACAATCAAATCAGTACTTTTGTACCATTTATTTCATCGTGTTGCTTAATACGTTGGAAAATTGGGAGTTGGGCAGAGCTTTGAGATTATTTTTCATCTTGGAGCAAAGTGTTGATTCATTCTCGTTGTACTTTGCACCAAAAGAAAAAAAAAAAAAAAAAAAAAAAAAGTAAAAGAAAGAAAAAAAACGTTATCGTCCTCATAAAACACACGATTATCGACGTATAAGCCGTCGCGTTTGTGGAATAAACAAACTCGTGGCGTACAATCATGAAATATCCGTATGTAGATGGGGTACGTACTCGAAAAATGCATACACATTATATATCGAGTGAAAAGTGAACAACAAACGGTGGTCACGATGTACCGATGAGCCAATAATAATGGTAACAATGACCAAAGCCTTTGACCCACCGCTTTTGATAAGCAAAATAAACTTGGAGATAACAACACGAAAGTAACGAACAAGTGGTCCGCCAACGATGAAATACACTGTATAATACGGTTCTGATTGAGAAATATACCAAACGAAACCACATGTACACACAAAAACCCTCTCCGAGCTAAACGTAAATTTATATACTTAAGGTATATGTATATGTATCAACACTTTCCCACGTATATACGCACACATGCAAAACGATTTACAACGAGACTTGCTACGCGAAACGAGTCCCCGGTACAAGATTATTTGCCTATATATAGCCCGCGTGCCGAGGGCCGCAGCTCGCAATCCAGCTCGAGTACCCGATCGCCTCGTAACGATTTCCAGCCATCCGCGGATACGTTGTTTCGTTTCTTGCAATCACCGGTCGTGTCTGCTGCAGGTACAATATTTCCTCAGATAAAATGGACAGACACCGTACCGTCGAACAGGTCATCGATGACAACGTGCCCGAGGACCAGCAAAAGTTCCTCAAGAGGGTCATCTACGGCGAGCACGTTCAGTAAGCCCCGATTTTTTTCTCGATAATTATCGACTCCCCCTTTTGTATACCGATAACCCACTTGGTCACCCCGACGTGCGCTCTTTTACGCGACAGGCCGATCGAGCTGCCGGCTTTCGAGGATGGGGTCCAGTGCGAGCTTAAGGGTTTCAAGATCGGTGGTGCTATCGAGGAGCAGTTGAGGCCTCCGAGGATCGTGCGGGTCGCCGTGATCCAGAACTCCATCGTCCTGCCGACGACGGAGCCGATTCGAGAGCAGCGCGACGCCATACACAAGAAGATCTGCAAGTACATCGAACACGCGGCCTCGTGCGGTGCCAATGTCGTCTGCATGCAGGAACTTTGGAGTGAGTTTCCTTCCTGCCCCACCCCCTTTGGCTATTGTTCGTTATTTATTGACTTAACCATTCCGTTTTTACCGTTCGTTTCAACTGTTTTTTTTAATTGATCATGATACCGATTGATCTTACATTTTCATCAACTAGTGAAATAGTTTTAGTTGTGACCCTTCATACTTGGCCCCGATCCAATCGTGGATCGTGTGATTTATTTTCCTCCGCTTGAGCGTGTTCTTATCGTGCAGTTTTATCTAAATCTGGCAAATCCTCTAATTCATCACTACAAATGAAATTAATTTAAAAAGGTACGCGAGTCGAAGAAAAAAAAGTGCAACCCTCGGTCCTTTGCGAATTATGTGAGGAGAGTTTCAATTGGCTTTGAACAGTTGCGTAGAAAACCTGTCATCTTGGAGACTTAATTTGCGTCGTATGAATTGCAAAAAGCGTAGATGCACACGAGTTAAATGGCCATAGGAGTGGCTCGGATCATTATGATATTACATGTATGTATACTTGAATAATACATGATCGAGGGAGCATAATGAATAAATCATACCGTTCGATGGAATGCAGGCGCCGTTGCCATCTAGAATATTCCAGCATCGCACGCTTACGCAATAAACGTCCATTAACGATTCTTCGCACGCCATAGTGGTGGATTTTTTTTAATAATCCAAGATAGGCGTGATGGTTTTGGAGAAAAAAAAACTACGATTACGTAAAGACATAATTTGCAGTACTGGTACGCATATATATTATTCTTCGATGCTACAATATGTACTGTTTGCAACTTTTCGCGTTCATTGTTCAACCTTAAAAAGAATTAGAATGAATATAATTTATGACAATTAGTCGGTTTAAAAAAGATATATGTACTCACAGTGCATGCGACGGAGATCGGCAAATGCTTTGAATTTTTTGCGATGAAGAAACCTCTTCGTCTCGAGAAAACGCAAGTGGAGAAAAATTTCTCTTTGCACATATACAAGCAGAGAAAACAATTTTAATTTTACACTCAGCACTACGTATAATATCTCGTGCCCACTCACAAAGTAATACAGGTGTTATCCACCATCGGGATGAATTTTTCAGCTGTCCCAAAAAAATGTACTTCTGAAAAAAAGCGTATATAATATATGTAGTTTAATCAAAGCAACAACAACAAAAAATATTCCAGCGATGCCAATGGCTTTCTGCACCCGCGAAAAGTACCCCTGGTGCGAGTTTGCAGAGGATGCAGTTTCAGGGCCCACGACGACCCTAATGTCCAAGCTGGCCCAGAAGCACGGCATCGTCATAATCTCGGCGATTTTGGAGCGAGAGGAGCTCAACTGCGACATCATCTGGAACACGTCGGTCGTCATCGACACGGACGGCCGCGTCCTCGGCAAGCAAAGGAAAAACCACATCCCCAGGAACGGCGACTTCAACGAGTCTACGTACTACATGGAGGGCAACCTCGGCCATCCGGTCTTCCAGACGCACTTTGGCAGGATCGGCGTCGTCACGTGCTACGGCCGCCACCACCCGTTGAACTGGCTCATGTACGCCCTCAACGGAGCCGAGGTGAGCGAAGAAAAACAAAAAAACAAAAAAAAAAAGAAAATTCTGAAAAAACGCAGTACTTTTTCCTTTCCAGATCGTGTTCAATCCCTCGGCGATAATCGCGGAGCAGTTCGAGCCTCTGTGGCACATCGAGGCCCGCTGTGCAGCCATAACAAACTGCTACTTCACCTGCGCCATCAACCGCGTCGGCACCGAGGTCTACCCCAACGCGTTTACCTCCGGCGACGGCAAGCCAGCCCACAAGGAGCTGGGCGAGTTCTTCGGGTCCTCGTACATCACGGCTCCCGACGGTTCGCGCACCCCCAGCTTGAGTCGCACCGGCGACGGCGTCCTCCTCGCCGAGATCGACCTCAACCTGTGCAGGCAGATGCGCGATTCGAGGAACTTCCCGGTAAGCCGCGACTTTTGTCTCTTCGACTTCGCGCAAGTGGAAAATGTATATATATGTCAAACGGTTTTTCGTCGTTGCAGATGACCCGCCGGTTGGACCTTTACGCTCGGGAATTGAGCAAGGCTGCCCAGCCCAACTACGAGCCGCAGATCGTGGGTAGAAAATAAATCTCCGCGAGGCGGGTACAAAAACATCGTTGCTCGACAATGATTGTCGTTGATTCCTTTTTTTCATCCAATTTTCTCGTTACTTGTTACAAGAGTAATACTTATGTACTGTTTTTATTTATTTTTTTTTCTTACGAGTTTTTGATATCTGTTTTTCATTTCACACAAAACAAGTTGCAGACTCATGGAGATTTTATACGAAAGCATCATAAATAAAAGCCATTGTTGCACGTTAAAACGAGTAAATGTACTTTGCACCTTTTCTCACGCTTCCTTCCTTCCCTGTACAACTCGTAAAACGTTGTTTGAATTTTTTCGTTAGAAAAAAACAACATGTTGTACTGTAATCATCTATTATCCGGTACACTAGAATAATCATCAACTATACAAAACACCAGGTAAATGAAAAATATACACAAAAACGATTATTAAAGTTAATCCAATCGAGTAACCACACACGGGTAAAAAAAATATTGGTAAGGATAAAATGAAAAAAGTAAAAAAAAAAAAAAAAAAGAATTTAATCAGCTACTTTCCTTTAGTCCCCCTCTCCGTCTCGTCTCAAACGCTTTTACGCGCACGAACGCACATTTTGCCGAAGCAGCTCAGCAGCTGATGTCGTTGCATATATACACACGCAACATACGTATACGTACATAACGTACACGCATGTATATACTCGATGTCTTTGGCGTTTGGACTTTAGCGTCGTCATTTTAAGTTGAGCCAAGCGACGAGACGCCACAAGATTTCCGGTCACAATTTTATTACTCCAATAACGAGCCCCGAATCATTACAAATATAAATATAAATTTTTAAGGTAAGAGTTGATGATACGTTTTTGAGAACATTCAACGTGTGTGGATTAGCCGGTAAGTGCAAAGTTTTAGATTTACTTATTTAATATTGATTGCATTCGTATTTAGAAAAAAAAAAATATATCATTGTTTAATAAATCCAGTAATTAAAAGTGTTCACACGTCGATGCTATACATATTTTTTACCAACTTACTACAAAGTTATCAAATGAATCAATATTGAGACGTAAATTTATCCACTCAAACTCACGCGGCAGTATATTAATCGAGTGGCAAAAAAAAAAAAAAAAAAAAACCACTCACTTGCATCTCTAATCTTATCGCGGCGAGAGCGCACGTAACATTTACAAAAGTAATTGCACTCGCGAGAATCATGATATCGGATTCGATGATTTAGCAAAACAAGCGCAGAAGCTGGCAAGAACCCGAGTCGAACGAATATTTAATAACACATGTACCTACAGATGTATTGATTGTGACGATCTGGTTGAAGATACAGAGCCGAAAATGAGCCTGGAGTTGGACAAGTTGTCGCTGGAAGAGGTGCTGGATAAGGACCTCGCTCCGGAGCATAGGTCTTTCGTCAACAGGCTCCTCTACGGTCGTGAATTGGAGTAAGTGTATCATTTCTGGCGTTTAATTGTAATGTGGGACTACATTTTTTGTTTATTGCTTTAGGAAACTCGATATACCAACGTTGGACGGCGATGGCACAAGTTGTGAAGTTGCAGGCTGGAAAGTAGGCGGTTCTCGAGCGGAGCAACTTCGCCCCCCGCGAATCGTTCGAGTCGGTCTGATCCAAAACTCAATCGTCCTGCCAACAGATGCGCCGATCAAGGAGCAGCGCGATGCCATATACAAAAAGATCACCAAATACATCGATCACGCAGCCAAGTGTGACGTCAACATCGTTTGTCTTCAGGAAGCTTGGAGTGAGATTTTTTTTTTCCATCCCTTTCATTTCAAAGATGACGAAATAATGATCGGTAATGCGGATTTTTCTCAATCATAGCGATGCCCTTTGCCTTCTGTACTCGTGAAAAGTACCCCTGGAACGAGTTCGCGGAGGAGGCAGTAACGGGCCCGACGACCGAGTTGCTGTCGTCACTTGCCCTCAAGCACGGTATGGTCATAATATCGCCGATCCTCGAGCGCGACGGGATCCACGGCGAGACAGTATGGAACACGGTTGTGGTGATCGGTAGCGACGGTCGAGTGATCGGCAAGCACCGTAAAAATCACATACCCCGGGTAGGTGACTTCAACGAGTCAACCTATTACATGGAAGGAAATACCGGCCATCCGGTCTTCGACACTCCGTACGGGAAGATCGGTATTAATATTTGCTACGGGCGTCATCACCCGTTGAATTGGCTCATGTTCGGTATCAACGGAGCCGAAGTGCGTTGTTTTATTTATTGTAGTAAACACTCTGCGTATTCGAGTTTGAATGAGGAAACCAAAGTTTTTATTTTACGGTAAAATCGGCAGATCGTGTTCAACCCGTCGGCTACGGTAGGCAAATTGTCGGAACCACTGTGGCCGATAGAAGCGCGCAACGCGGCAATTGCCAACAGCTACTACACTTGTGCGATCAATCGAGTTGGGACGGAGATTTTCCCCAATGCTTTTACATCCGGGGATGGCAATCCAGCGCACAAGGAGTTTGGACAGTTTTACGGCAGCTCTTATGTGGCTGCTCCAGATGGTGCGAGAACGCGAGGCCTCAATCGTCACATGGACGGTTTACTCGTGGCCGAGTTGGATCTTAATCTTTGCAGACAGACAAAAGACTCCTGGGGATTCAGGGTTAGTACTTTACAGCGTCGAGGAACGTAAAAAACATTCGTCAAAGTTCACTTTTGTTCTTACAGATGACTCAGAGACTTGACATGTACGCCGAAAAATTAACGCAAGCTGCGCAGCCTGATTTCCAGCCGCAAGTTGTGAAAAAGTAGACAGTGCGCCCATATTTGTATCTAAAAATGGAAAGTTCAAATGAAAAATTATCAATTTACAGTTATAGTGTAAAAACATATTTATTTCATACATATCAAACGCGTGAAACGTCTATTAAACATAATGAGCTTTCTTACGAAAAAAGCAACGATTATGGTCATCCTTTGAACGGATTAAACAAACTTTATACAAGAGCTATCTAATTGACATTAAAAAACACACTAATCGCTAGCTGATGAATTGAGCGTCGATGAACCGGTTGTTTGTTTTTGGTAAAGTAACGCATCCTGATAAGCCTTCTTCACTGCTTTTCTATCAGTAGGTTTTCGCGATTCGATCAATTTACCGTCATCCAATTCTTGCGACACCCCCAAAGGCTCTAATTTTTCACCAGGTAGCCATTGCCTGTGATGAAGAAAATATGTCGATATATTGAAGGAAAAACAAAAATTTGATGTACAACTCACTCGTGTCTACGTACCATGTCCTTTTGGTGTCGAAAAACAAAACAAGATGAACGAGTTCTTTGTGATTATTCTTCAGTGCAAGTACATCTTCTGGGGGCGAAGGTATTGGCACACCCCTGTGCACTGTGCCCTTAGGAGTGTTGGGATCGATTATCAGAGCTGGATACCAAGGGTAACCTCGACACTTGGCCCAAACAAGCTGTAGAGGCGTCAACGAGCCGTTACTGTCAATCTCCATCTTATTGACGGTAGTCGCATTACTGACGAGTTTTGGCGTTGTGTGCTTAGTCTTGTTGGGCACGACCGTGACAACGCGTGGCACCTCGTCTTCTTCCATCTCGTCGTCTTCACGCTCCAGACTCGTGGACCGGCTAGTCGAACAACTGCTGCAACTCGACGACTGGCTGTCCCGCTCACCCACGTCACTGTCCGTTCCTCCGCTCCGGTAAACCCGGAAACTATCGCTCTGTTTCTTCTGCTCATTTTCCGGGCTTGCACGGTGCAAAGGACCACGACTTTGACGAGCTTTGGCCTTCCGAGTGAAGAGCACGGCTGTCCGACGATTGACTCCACCACTGACTGCACCTAGAGCGCTACCGGTACCGCTTGTGTTTGCATTGCTTGTGTTTCCAGGGCTTATGCTGAGAGCACTCGATGACAATGTCTCTTTGTCGCCACTTTTTACGGGAAATGTATTCTTTATAAATATCGATTATTTTTGTAATCGTATCAAGTAGTACATACTCATGCTTACCTGACTGTTTCGGAGTCATTGCGGACACGTGAGCTACGTTCACGTTTCCGTTTCGTACTCGTAACGTTTTGCTGCTGTGGTTGCTCAGCCTCATCTATGACGTGCTTTTCAACTGCATTGGAACCGTTAAACTCAGGATAGTTCTTTTTAGCCTGTTCAATAATAATACTGCCCTGCTCTCGCATTTTGACACCCGCGCGATAAAACATGGTATCCTTGCGATTGTAAGCAAGACAATTGCTTACCATTAAATTGAAATCACTTTCGAAAGCAGATATCGAGTCGTATTCTTGACTATCGATTTTAGCCTACGGAAAATGAAAAAGAAATTTATACATTGAAGACGTGTTTTAATATTTAACAAGGCACTAATGATAATAAACAAAGACCTCTATGGTTGAGAGATCCATGGGATGAGTGACAATGTCCAAATAATCGGGAACTTCCTCGATGTTGACTGGTTGACCAAATATGTCGTTTGGATCTCGCAATTTCAATAATTCGATCACTATTTTCAATAAGCTATCTAATGGTCTAAGTTCAAACCACATGCACTTTTCTTTCCTGTGTGTAAATAAAGTGTCAACTGATTAATGTATACATGCATCCAGGCTCATGAATAATGTCGTATAAATTGAAATTTACACTTTAAACAGTTCCTTCTTTAGTTTCTCACGTTTCCTCACCAACTCGCACAGTAGTCTTGCGCGCTCGAGATCCTGTCTAAGGCATTGCCAATATTTCAACTGGTTACCAAGTTCTTCGCGCAACTCTGAATCTGGCGTCGGCGACGAAGAATCATTTAACGACGGTGGTGCCCGTGGATGTGGATGCGAACTTTGAAGTCGGCGCAATAATGGCACACCATTGCGGTATTGGCGTTTTAACGTCCAATAGGCGATTAATCGCTGCATAAGCTGATTCTTTTTTGGTAATCCTTCAGCTAGGCTGCAGGAATGTTCAAAAAAGGAATTTTTGCTTTAAGATTGAGAGTCACAAAAACCACATTTCACTCGTCATTCAAGTCTGGCCAAACTTACCTAGCTATTTCACGAATACGCTCGGGTGGAATGGTTGGTATAGAGATAACTGGTGCACTGGAGCTTTTCTTGTTTGCGATAGCCCGCCTCCTAGCGTCAGTCGGATTCGTATTGGGTTGATAATCTGGTGGTGAATGTGTCTCGCAGTAGGCAGTCTTTTGAACCAACATGGGCTCGCCGTTGGTAGGTTGGACGGTTCGCATGCGCATGCAGAGTCCCGCCTGTTGGGCACAGGTAACGTGAAAAGCGGCGTAACAATTGCTCTTGTGGCACTGAATGCAGGCACCGACATTCCGCCGTTTACAGACGCAACAGACGAGGCGCCAGCGAGCTGCTGGAATACTTTCAATACTGTCAATTGGTTCTAGAAACACTGTATTGGCGAATCTAACCTCGGGTATCCAAAGAGCACAAACTACGTGCGCCCATGTACCCGATTGATCTGTCTGCTTGAACGCCCCACCTATGGAAAATAAATCAAGTAGAGTCGTTCTGGAAATTGATGAGTAAACTAGCAAGCAGTAATGGCGCAAATGACGCAATTACCTCGGTTAGGACAGAGAGCACAATCGACGGCCCTTGAAGGACTCTGGAGGCATCGTCTACAAAGCCATTGGCCTTCTGGAATGTAAGGAACTCCGTAACAGTCTTGATGCACAGCTAGATTACACATGTCGCAAAAGAGAATGGCATTGCTGTTTTGACATTCTCCGTCCATACAGATACAGCATACAGCATCTTCGTCAGCAGCTGTGCCAAGAGTAGCTATGCTACTACCACCGTTGCTCTGTTGTTGGAAGTAGGATTCTTTTTCTAATCGATCCATCAACAGCTCAAAAACGTCTGGCTCAAGATTTGGTAATCCAGAGGCTGCTCGTCTTTCATTAACTATGGCCAACCATGCCGAGTCCTCTTCATCTAAATCATACTCAACTTCTCCTGCATTAAAACATTTCGTTATTAATAAGACACAGTGTTAATTTTTTCAAGTGATTACACGTCTGTAAATAATTGTATTTTGTTTAAAAACTGCCATTTGTACCGTCTAGTTCTTCTCCACTGCGCTCCATAAACCTGACATATGAGTTGGGAAGGGCTTCGGCTTCCCCGATTTGTTTTTCATAGCCATCAATTTCTTTGGCCACAGCAACTGGTAGGGAACTCAAGATAGCCTTATCTTCTTTTTCTCTATCGCTGATCGTGATAGTATTCTTGTGGGGAGAACTTTTCTCTTCCTCCACGCAACCATCCTGTGGAAGTATTGAAATACTTTCAGTGAACTGCAGTTTAACTGGTTTAGTTACATCCTCCTTCCAAGGTATCACCTAAGATATGAAAAAAAAGCTTTAAATTCAACCAACCATCGTTTCTGTTTTACACCTTAAAGAAACACATTAGCAATTTTTGAGATCAAAAGTAACACCAGCACTTGAACCAAAACATCAACTCTATACCAAATTGCGCTTGCACTTTGTTGACACTCACCTCCAACGATTTTAAGCCCCTACAAACCATATAAAGAACATAGCTGATAGCACTAAGTACTTCTCTTCAACTTACCACAGCATATTTATTAGATTCTTGGACGGGTAAAGCGTCGACGCCAGCGGCGCCAGCTTTAGCAGCACCGGGACTTGCTTCTTTGGTCTCAATTTTCTGCTGCTGTTGATGCTGTTGCTGTTGTTGTTTGGATAACCTGCTGCGGTTCTTGCTTTTTTTCCTGCTCGAATGGCTAGGAGTCCTCATATTTTTACTCTTGCGGATGAGCGATCTACCGCTACCAGTCGAGGAGAGCACGAGCAAGCCAGGACGCCGATGATACCGCTGCTGTTTTTAACTAATCGACTACGACGATGACGTCGACGCCGACTTCTTGGTATAGTAGCAGCAGCAGACCGGCTCGGCGGTTGTAGATTGTCGTTATTTTGGATCTTCGTACCTTCGTTGCGATGAGAGAAAATGCAAAATCGTCGCAACCTCGAAGTTGTACGTACACTAGCTAGCTGACGAGACGATACCTTTAAGTACTTGCGAGAGCACAGACTTGATTAAATGTTGTTAACGCGTTGTTACGGTCATCGGGTTAGGGTTATCTATCCGAAAACCTGAGGTCTCAGGTTAAGTTATTAAGTATAATATATATATTTCGGCTCGCGCTTGTGATGATATATATGGGTTATTTCACAAAAAATGCAATATTCCATAAACTCCATAAAGCCGTTTAAAAACGAAGGATCGAATTATTTTGAGTCACAACTTTTTTTAAACGGTTTAAACCAAATTTTCCTAAATGTATTTATGACATCATGTCGAAAAATTTTTTGCATAGCCGTAAGGTTGAAAAAACAGGCCAAAATATCATGACCGCAACGCGGAGCATTAAAAAATTTCATTTTTTGCGGCTTCTGGAGCCTAGACGTTGATTTTTTAATTTTTTTCGATGTACTATCTAAAAGTTTGAGGTATTGAGCACCTTNTTTTTAATTTTTTTTTTACTATATACATATATCTGAAACTTTGAGTTGATGAACACCTCATCTGACAATTTAGAACTGAAAAAAAAAAAAATTTGTTTTCAAGTTAGGGACGTTTTATTTGAGAAGCCTGATTTGGCCACTTGTTTAGGACCCTTCAAATCAAAAAAAAATTGCAAAAATTGATCAAAATACTCGATTTTTGCTTAGTAACTATTGCATTCTTGCAAAACGGCAAAGTGTAAGCTTCTAAAAGTTTTTTGTATCTTTGCTTCTTACAGTATTTAAAGGCCACGCTGACTTGGTTATCAACAACGGATGGAGTTGGACACTGCAGCATTGTAAATGTTGACTGAATCTCCGACCGCGTGGCGGCATGATCCGCTCCCGCATGTGGCGAAAAAAGTGTCTGGTTAGTATATATAGACCAAATTGTCAACAGTCGTTCAGAGATGTGTGCACACTGGCTCATGACGTAAGTCTACAGTCACTCACGTGGGCGGACTCGGTTTGAATAGTTTGCTACGTTGTAGTAGCTCACCGATACGTACCTACAGGTAAGTGAGGTAAGTAGGACGTGGGTGACTTGGCTGGTGTTCACATATTTTTTGTTTTTATTTTCACATTTCTGTTAAAAACTGCAGTGTCCTCCTTTATTATTTGCGTTTTTCCAAACCGAATTCCTCTTTTTTTTTTTTCATTTCTTCTCATAAAGAGTGAAAATTCTGAGAAATCAAGAAAAACATACGTCCGCTGCTTTAACTTAATATAATTTTCCAACATTGATCAACTTACATATTGTAATCTGTCCATTTGTTATAAAATTATTTTTTCTTAAATATAATTCGTTTAAACAGCCTTTCATAAATTTTTTTTTCTTTTAAAAAATCCTTTTGTGCCCTCCATATTTTTTTTTGTATTCAAACCAAAAAAAACGACTACTAAATATAAAATCGTAATTATTTAATATGCCTTTAATTTTAATCAGATGAGATTTTTAATAAAGTCTTGAAATTTCATTTTTTTTAAACATTTTTTTACACGTACACAAAGTTATAACATGAATATAGTAATTTTCCGAAATAAATGTGATAGAACAATGTTATTAAAAAAAAAAATTTTTAACATTATATGCAGCACAAAATTTACAACTTCGATTATTCTTAATTAAACCATAACATTATGAAATATTAACACGTGTCGTATACTGATATCAATTTATATGGTTACTGTCACTTTTTTTTTTTTTCTTTTTAAAACGTTTAACTTATTCGACAATGTAATTTTCACATCAATGTAAATGGATATCCATTATTTAGTTTTTCGTCTTGACATAAAAACACGTGTAACGTCATCACGTAATAATTATATTTTAATAATTAAGTACATACATAAGGCTTTTAACCGTCACGTGTACTTATTATTCGATATTTCATAAATATTACTAGCACGTTTTTAACGCGAAAACAATTATAAAGAAATAAACAGACACTTAGGTTTAAGAGTACAGGGATATGGAGTTAAAGCACTTGGGGTAAAGGGTTAGGGGCTCAAGGGATTGGGAGTAGAAAGTTATATTTGTTAATAATTTTCATTTATAAGCTATCCAAGTCATTTAAGTTATTAACAATTTTATTGAATGCAAATACCGTTCAAATGATTTACAAATGATTTTTTTTTTTTTTAATACCCAAGCGGAAATAATTTTGTTTGATAAGTTGGTAATAATTGTCTTTAAAATTAGTAGGAAATATAAAAAAATAATAACAGTTTCTAATGTCTAGATTTGAGACAAGTAATAAGACTTATTCACAATTGTCTGTCATAAGTTGTTACTAAAACTTTTAAATACTTATTAGTTATTATTTTTTTTTGCTCGTGAGATCGAACGGTACAACCGTGCCCATAAAGATTATTATTTTTTATTTTTTTTTTCTATCTGATATAAAATATAAAACAATAAATATAATCTATTATTAACAATTATTAATAGCTATTAGTTTTTTCAAAATCTTAAAAGTCAAGTATTAAATAGTGATCATTAATCATAAAAGTTGTTTCTAGTTACTACTTTTTCCCATGTTTCTATAATGACATTCATGACGGAAGAAAAAAAAATAATGACTAATAATAATACTTATTAAACTTTATTATAGTCTCAATTCTGGACTTAATAAAATATTACTATTAGTTATTTTTTTTTTCTTTTATTACTTATCACAAAAAAACTTGTAAAGTAGAACTTTTACTGTTAATAAAAAAATGAAATTATTAACTAAATGAACCCTACACCTCGGGTCATTTATTGGTTTGAGGGCTTGAGAGTAGAGGGTTATGGGGTTTAAGTACTTAAGGTAAAGGGTTAGGAGCTCAAGGGACTGGGAATAGAAAATTATGTTTGTGAATGATTTTTATTAATAAGCTAACCGAGAGTTATTTCAATTATTAATTATTTTTTTTACTCTACCAGCACCATTTTAATGATTTACAATTTATTTCTTTTTTTTTGTAATAAGTGGCGCTTTTATTGTTAATAAGAATATGTAATTATTAACTTATTGAACTCTACACCCAGGTTCATTAATAATTTCTCAGTGGCAGTGTGTGTATGTACGTGTGACATATTATTATACCCATAGATTTATAGAAATGATCCAATCTGATCCATATAGGTTCACGCTAGTGTATGTTGACTAAATGCGAATTGGGTGTTGATGTGTCGAAGTTTAAATTTTTGCCGTTTGTGCACAGAGTGAATTACAATTGTTATAATATGACTTCTTGCAAAAATCGTTTTATTGTTATGGATTTCGAAAACGAGTGTTTATTTACATTAAGAGACATATTTTTTGCATATGATTTCTGACAAGCTTTGATCTTTATCGTATCTTCTTACATGGGGGCACACCACCACACCGCTACTTGAAGTTAGAAACAACTCCACAGGTCAAAAAGTGTATCTACTTACGACAATGCATTATTATTACCTGAAATTGAGAGATATAGACAGATTTATATAAATAAAACACTTTCTCCCGTCTTGGCACAATTATCATACTGTATATGTATTTAGTCTGGCCTCCTATAGCCAAGACCATAATAAAGAGTGCGGGCTTTCTCAATTTCATGAATCATCGAGATCGTTTGATGAATAATCGACCCAGAGAAGTGCTTGTGAACCCGGCATTTTGTCGTGCTTTAAATCAAGGGTGTTGTTCGATTGAGTTATTATTCATAGCTCATCATGTTGTTTTCGTGTTAATTATTATCATTGCTGTCCCAAACTTTTGTGTTTTTTACCAATTAAAACGCAAAAAATTGAATAAAAATCCAATAGTTTAATAAAACACAAATACTTTTATCTGATTTAGAAAACAGTATAATTCTTACAAATAAAATTGATTCAATTCGGCAATTACAATTAGTTGCAAAAAGTACATTCAAACGAGTTCACACTACAATAACATACAAAATAAATAAATCTTTCATTGTATATACAATGTTTCAGGTAATTTTCTTAAGGCAATCGTACTCAAACGACTTTATTTCCTTCTATAACAAATCGATTAGACAACATCGAAGCAGTTTTCCCTATGCTACAATATTATGCTGAAAATAACAATAAGTTAACAATATTCAACGAATATTACGAATCATCTATCAATACTATTTTACAAACATTTTTTTTACATTATGGCTGCACGTAAAGTTTGCTTAGTTCTCTGCATGGTATGACTAGACGTTTATAAGTTAACAATCATTATTAAAATATATCGGCACGAATTATTATTGAATAATATAGATATCGTTGGCCTTTAGTTTAAGATTATACGCGGCAAAACCATCTTTCTATGTAGATTAGCAGAAAAATACATTGAGTTATTTATTTAGCATTCGGTTTGTACTGTTAAGAGTTCTGTAGACATTTAAAGATAATGTTTAAAGTTAAGCCTAATATATCATATTTTTAATACATTAACACAAAAATATATTTATCTTGTTTGTAATTTGTACTATGACAGATCTCTATATTTATAGGTATCATTGATTTTGTATTTTTTCCAGTAAAAATCTGATTGAAAAAATTAAGTTAACATTGCAGGCAACCCCCAGAAAATATTTTGTCGCATATTATACCTCATCAAAGATAGTACTATTTAGTAATCTATTTTTGAAAAATCTATCCATGTGTATCCATAATTTTCAAATATTTGGTGCATTAAAATGTTATTACAAGGTTATTAATCCACGATTGTCTAAGATGGAATTGATGCTTCATAAGAAACGTACAGGTACAAGCGTAAAATTCGACAAATTCAACGGCAAAATCCTGTTTGCTCAACAAAAATGTATAAGTTAACAATAAGAAACAGAATCTACGCCTCTGGGTTTCATTTTTGAGGCGTCAATGGTAAAAAATCATCAGGCAAGTCATCTGGAAGAGTAGCACCAAGTTTTTGAATAACTTCTTCTGCAACTTTACATCCCCAATTAAGGCAGGTTTGCGGCTCTTGGCCTGCCAAAACACCCGCAAGAAACCCAGCAACCAATGCATCTCCGGCACCCGTCGTGTCCTTGACCGTAATATTAGTTGGTATTTTATATTCAACAAAGTTGTTTTCTCCATAAACGCAAATAGCTGGGCCGTTACCGCCTTGAGATAATACGAAACAAGAGCTCCTACTCAACCAACTTCTACCACATTTATGCTCCCAATCACGTCCAACTGCTGCCATAGTATTTAAGTGAAACGGAATGTCGGTAGGTCGATCGTATTCGATTGGATACCTGGCAGCCAAGGCCTGGTATTCACCTACGTTACCAAATACGATGTTGGAGTACGCAATGAAGTCCAATATTTCTCTCTCATGTTTCTGTATCAATAATACGATTATTAATTAGCATCTAAAAAAATAGATACTATTGCGATTTTTTTTTCTTACTCTCTGTTTATCGTAGCGTACCTCTAAAACATATTCTGCATTCAGATTAAACGCTATAAGGAATTTCTTGGACTCTGCCATCTTGGCTATTTCAATGGCAACACAGAAGTTATTAATCAGAAAGTATGCCTCGATGTACAAGATTTTAATTCTATCGAGCGGTAACGTATCTTCAACGTATTTTAACTTGTTGTATTTGCCTGCAGCTCCAATGTGTGCCACAAGACTCCGATTTTCGTTGGTAACTATGGCTAATGTCATACCTGTGGGATAATTACTCACGACGCCGAGTCTATTGGAATAAATGTGATGGTATAAGTATGTTAGTTTTTAAAAATCAGGTTCTCAAAAACAATCACATACCGGGCATCGATTTTCGCGGCTTCCAACAATTCTTTTAGTAACTTTCCGTGCTCGTCGTTGCCTATGGCACCAAAATAAGTGCATACCCTCTGGTCACCCGAACCAATTAGCTTTTGTAAAAATCTCATAGAGTTCAGAGACGATCCTCCAGCCGCTGTAGTCCTTGGTAAGCTATAAAATGGGATGTTTAAAAAAAAAAAAATTTGTTCATCCTACAAACAGCTATACAAATAAGTAATGCTAACTCTTCGGGCAAACTCTTGAAAATATCTTGCATTTGTTTCCTATCCAGTTCGACTATTCCATCAACTTCTAGTCTCAATCTGTCCATCAGAGGCTTCAGTCTGTTATTATCGTTAATAACAATTGTATCCAGCAGAGGATTGCCAAAAGCCATAATCAAGGGATGCTGTTGGGTGGCGATGTACTCCTTGAGAGACAACATATCTCGATAGGCTGGAAAAATATACAAAAACTGTATCGATAATTTAGGTAACGCAACGTGTGGCGTGATGCAAAAAACGCTCGGTCGCATGCAACAACGAGTGCACGTTCAAAAGTTACGTAAAAACCTTCAGTGATCACTCTCCGAATGCAAACGGGCAACTATCTTATAGCGAAGGAAAACAAAAATATAGGAACGAAACGAGAGTGCTGTAGTTACCTGTCAATCAGCCCGTTATCGCTGCCAGAAAAAATGAAAGTCACGCATCCATGATCGAGATGTCTACCGGGAAATGGGTGGTGTAAGAAGTAAGTATAGGGCAATCGTCACATGATTCCGGCCTTTCGCGAACTAATAAACCCGCAACATGCTTTTTTCTTCCCTGTTCACGACAACGACGACGAACAATCACTGCACGCGTTCGACATTTTTTACGTTTGACTTTCAATCGGTCCTTCGACCACCGACTACGAGGAGGAGCTTCTTATCATGGGTAACGACAGATAAACAGTATTAAAGCAACTTGGGAGGGATAAAAAAATTTGAAGTTGATCTTGTAACGATAAAATGCATATCAGGAGGAACAAGAAAGTTTATGATGATGATGTCTTTGATGTGTTTGCGAAGCAGACGACCAAGTGCGAGCAGACGATCGTTTATGCGTTCGTGTGCGCGAGAAAGTCCGCTTCTGGTGGTGTCGTGCGCAGGGGATTTTCTTTTCTCGGAGAAAAGAGTGGCGGGGAGTTTTTGAACGACAAATGAGAAACTTTTTAACAAAAATTCAGGGTAGGTATTTTCATGGCTATACGACATATCTATACCACATATGTTAGTAAGAAAGGAAATCGAACGGAAATGTATGATTATGCATAGAAAACAGAGTAAAAATAAGTGTACTTCATACCAAAGGGAGTAGGTGACGTTGTCTCGAACGATGTTCTCCTTTCGTCTAACAGTTGAAGGTGTATCCATAGAATCAAAGCAAAAAAGTAATTTAATCATATGTTTGTACATATTTGTTGGATAAAGGATGATTTACGCAAACTTTTAAAAGAACGTGTATGAGTAATTAAAACAAGAATTTTTCTTTCTCCGTAGACCATGGGGCTACTGTATCGAACATTGGAAAGTAAGAATAAATTTTTTAAGCGATGATTTTTATGAACTACGTACCGAAATACAGTGGCTTCATGGCTAATGGATCCGTATTATCATCATCATCCTCATCTGTACCATTTTCTAACACCAAAGTAAAATTTCATTTACATTAGTAACAATTGTCCTTTACGATATTCCGTCACAGTAAAAAATTTTCCACTTTTACAACAAAAATATGCATAACTTACATTTCGAACGAAGTTCTTTGCTGGTAAAAGTATAAACCTCGTCACGATTAACGAGACAACTGGTGCCATTTTAATTAAAAAAAAAAAAAAAAAAAAAAAATCTGATTGTCATCATGCCATGAGCGTCATAAAGGTAGAAAAATATTTTTTCAATGTGACTTTGCTTAAAAAAAAATTCGTACAAGGAGTACGGAATTGAATAAAGTTCGTACCAAAAAATAGTGCCTTGGGTGGCGAAAGTTCGGCTCTCTCTGCTTAGTTGACGACGAAGAGTGCATGAAATGAAAAAAGGAAAAAATTTGGCAGTTTACACAAGAAAAAAAAGCTGAGAAGTATAAACAAAAANATGTTGATGGACCATCTTTTTCAAGGATATCCAAGGATAAAAGTTTTGGCTCGCATTAAGCCATTAAAAAAAAAAAAAAAAAAAAAAAAAAGAAAAAAAAAGTAGCCACACAATCAAGTCATGGGCGCGTTGGATTTATCTCTCGGTATTTTTTAAACCAGTCTCGAAAAAGTTTACCTTAAAACAAGTAACAGAACTAGGAAAATACGCAGTCTGTAGACAGGCGTGTTCAATCGACATGCCCAACGTACGTATAACACTCTCTTATACTCTGGGAGATTCAAACTACAAAAATGAATTGGGTTGTTGGGATTGAGACGCTTATTTCAATAACTGAGTTAAAGTCGCAATAAAAAAACCCATGCGTCCGTGGGTCACTCGTATTGGGCGACTGTGACAATTACGTTATGATTTTCTAATACAACATGTGTGGTACACGAGAGAGGAGGACTGAGCCATGGAGCTGCGTTCAGATCAATCAGGTAATAACCCCCCTCCCCCATTCTTTGCTCGTCCCTTTCTCTCAAGAAGAAAATGCGTACTCATATCATGCTGTATGATGGTGTACAACATCGTATTAGGATTACAATGTAAACGCGGCTCCCCGTATGTAACTGACTAAAATAAAATTACAGTTTATCGTCTCGAAAAGGAGTCGACGGTGGCAAAAGGTCTCATCGTAATATTTGTAACGATTAAACACGGACACGTGTTTCTCTCCGATGGTTCATCGTGCGCGGGTATGAAAAAACCTCACCTCTTTCGGTGGACTGTTTTTTCCATTCCTTATCTTCTTGAAAGAGATTTCCTTTGGTGAAACAAAAGAAAAAACCATGGTTGTAAATCTTCGTAGTTAAAAAAAAAAAAAAAATAGCGTTACTTTTAGCCATCGGAGTGGTAGGGTACTTTTTTCTCTTGGCACCGCCGTTCTCCTTCCCCCCCGGGGGCGACGACCCCGCCGACATCCTCACGAACTTTTTTATCTTCTTCTTGACATCGGACGTTGATTTTTCCTCTGCAAAATGCAATAAACCGAGCATCGATCAGGTATATATTTACGAGAAAATCAAATCCTTGGTGGTTATTTTCACCCAAGAGGGTTTTTCGAAACTGATGATTTACCGTCAGTACGGGGCGCTGAGTAAGCCGAGCTCTGGTAGAGCTGTTTTATCCTCTGGGCGACGAGAGAAAGTGCCCCTGAAAATTTAACACCCGTAACATTTACACCGATTTTAAGAACAATAAGGAGGGAAACAAAAAAAAAAAACAAATCAAGCTACCGTTTTCTTTGTCCTCGGATGGAGAGGAGTTCCTTCCGATGTAGCCCTTCTTTCCTTTACCTGTGAATATACATCGGAACTCCCGGTAATTGCAAAACTACGTTAATTAACAATATCACTGGCAAAAAGGTTGCGAGACCCGTTGTGCGTACATTATGTATACATAGGTACCCCCGTTTTTTGTACAACACGTGCTGCTGCCGCTGAGGACTTGTCCGCGCAACGGACATCTCGCAACGTTCTTTCAGTACTGCACCCTCGGATTTACAAAAAACATCATCTTACTCGTGTCTTCGAACTTTGGGGATGATGTTACCGGTGATTTCGAATACGAAACACTCTTCTTGCTCTTCGCCCTTTTCTTCTCTTCGTCCATGTTCCCGTATTTTTCTTCCACTAACGATGGCACAGTACTTGAGTTTCGCTCGCAATACTTAGTAAAGGAAAAAATTAACAAATCGTCACTCGAAGAAGCTATTATATATATATATATACTTTTTAGGTGTTCAATTGTATAGGTTACACTTTGGATCAAATATTCAAATGTATAGTACCTATAGGTATCGAAAAATGTCGACTTTACCTTCAGTATGTTTTCTTCGGCCAACCGACGTAAACTGGCGACCTTTTCGAACAACCGACTTTAAACGATGATCTAGAGAGTATAGTGTTTATATTTTGATTTCCAAGTAGACGAGTAGCGACTACGTTAGGTACACATACGTTACAGTGGCACTTTGATACATACATTCAAACGTTACAATTTTAAATATAAAATGTTAGCCTAAGTTTGGAATTGTAAATACCGTAAGTGATATGTATAATATATAATACATGATGATCTTTCGTTACAACGGGAGTATGAATTAAATAAATCACTTGCGCTTTTTCCAGGATGAAACGTGTGTTTATTATTACGATACTTATACTTGAAAAGTTCCATCTTTTTACAACATAAATACAAACTATAAAATATTCGGTGTAAAATCTTCGCAACAGCAATAATGATTTTAAAGTAGGAAAACCTGTCATTGGTCCATCAGTTGTTCGGTCACGGAACAATCACAAACGAAATAAAAAAAATCGGTCAACCCGGCAGTCTCGAAATCTTCAGCCACACGCCGTTTTCGCTGGCCGTGACCAAGCTTCGTTTGCTGAACTTTATCGGGACGGTGGTTTTTCCGCAAACCTCGACTCGGTACTTTCTCAGGAAAGTTATCACGCCGACCTTCGTTTGTAGCAGTGCGAATCTCACCCCTGGGAGGGAAAGGAACGTACGATTTAAGAGTACATGGGAAAAAGGTGGATAAAAAAAAAAAAAAAATGTCACTCACCGATGCAGCCTCTAGGTCCCTCCCCGAAGGGTAGATAGGTGTACGGGTGCCTTTCCAGTCGGTGTCGCTCGTCGAAGCGCTCGGGTCGGAAGGTGGCGGGGTCGGGGTAGTGCTTGGGATCGTGGTGGATCGCGTAGATCGGTATGACGACTCGCATGTCCTTCGGCAGCTCGACTTCGCTACCGGGGAGCTTGTAAGGGCGCTCGCAGCGTCGAGAGAGCAAAGGTCCCGGTGGATACTTGCGCAGTGTCTCTGCAATACGTTTTTTTTTTTTTTTTTTTTTTTTTTTTTTTTCCAATGGTTGGCGGATAGAAGGTATAAAAATTACGTTTGGTGCTCAGAGAATATTTGTGTTTTCACAATTTTTTGTATCATCAATTGCACAAACCACAGTGCTGAATGTTTAAATGACGTTTTTTTTTTTTTTTAGGAATTGCAGTTAATATTATTTTATACACTTTGTGCTTTTTTATTTTTTTTTATGAAGGTTCTCTGAATTGATATAAGTAGTACTCTACATTTTCACGCAACCCAAAAGAAACAAGTTTTTTCTCTTTTTACAATAATTTTTACATAATTTTTGTTAAATAATACACTTATCGATGGGTGTGTAAAGTTAGTTTATACAATGAAGTAAGATGTTGTATGTTTGTCTAACAAATTTTTATAAAAAACCTGCAGGTAACTTTTGACACGCTGATTATTCATGACGACCTGACAACTGTAAATACAACCAATGAAGTGGGCGTATGAATGGGTAACGCAGAGGTTTTTATTATTTGAGGAATTTTATAGTTGGTGCTAAAATAACTCGATTTTCCACTTATGCTTAGTAGACTTTTTTTTTTGGGTTCATTTTTTTTCACGACGTCACATGAGTCAACAGCATGAATGCTCTCTAGCTGTCTTTTATTGTCTTTGATGAAAAGCAATCCATGTAGCTCATCGATACTCTTTTATTTGCTCATCATTAATCTCGACACTTTTAAACGGTTATAATTATTTTCGTTCGGTTTGTTGATTCAATAAATCAACACTTTGGCACACATACGCGTGTGAAACATCAATTAAACTCCAGCGGTTGAAAATGTATATAAATCGGTATCCAATAGTGCCGATCGTACAAAAAAGAAAAAAGAAAAAAGAAAAAAAAACACATCCTCACCTAGAATAACCATATCCAAGTATTTCATGTCCTGCACGGCCTCGTAAGTCAATGAGCCGTCGCGCTTGTCCAGAGCTTCGAGCACGTCTCGTCTGGTCCGTTCCTGGATTTTCGGGTCCACCGCCAACTCGTACAGACAGAAGGCTATCGTATTCTTGCTCGTCTCGTAGCCGGCAACGAAAAACACGAAGGCTTGCGCTGCTATTGTGTTTTCGTCGATAACTGCCATTAAAGTATGAAAAAACAAGAGTATGATGTGTGAGTGTTTTTTTTCATCATTTGTACAAAAGCTCGTCAGTTAACAATAATGGGGAAAAAAAGTAGGAAACAATACACATGATCTTTTGACTTTCCAAAAAATTTCAATTTTAGAACCATCATCGTATGGATGGAGAATCGATAAAACCGCTAGTAAATCATTTCGATGTAAATTCGTCATCAATGTCTCATCCGTACGACATGAGGTCAAAAGCGATTGTTTAGCGGGGATTGTCCAAGAAGCCTAGCCATGAATTTCATGAAAAAAAAAAACAAAAAAAACAAGGCATATATAGTATAGGTGTACCAATATCTCCAGCAGCACCAGAACCCTCGTCGTCCCGAGGTTCCCGAAGTAGCCCATTGCTATGGTCGAGCGTGCCCCTGTTCTTCAGCTCGATCAGCAGATCCATGAAATCGTGCCGCCTCGGGGCCGCGCTGCTCTCGCGCTCCTCCACCATCTGCGACACGAGCCTCTTGAAAAACTCCGTCACCTCGGGATCAATCACCTGCAAGCAACGATCCCACCTCTACATACCTACGACCCTTCCACCACCGCCCACCCACAATATTATCTCTGTATATACCTGAACACCCAAGACCTTGTACAACCTCGGCAAGGCGGTCCTGAGCATGCGCCAGAGCGTAGCCACGTAGCCGGGCCTCGACAACCTGAGCGCGGCCCTTCGAAACCCCGAGTCCTCGTCCCCCAGGGCGTTTATCCGCAGGCCAAAGGCGCAGCTGCCGATCACGTCTATCGTGAAGTTCGCGGCCAACTCTCCCGCCTCCACGACCGCGCCGCCCCTGGATGGCTCGAGTCTGCGCTCCACCAGCCGCCCCAGACCGTCCGAGCACTCGGCCAGCAGGTAGAACATGCTCCTCAGCTTGCCCGAGGAGAAGGCCGGCGTGAGCTTGGCTCGCAAGCTCTTCCAGTGCTTTCCTACAATTTTTTTTTTCCCCATCTTTCTATATTTTAATTTTTCAAATTATGGTGCACAGTGAATACCAGCTGCTTAAATATAGTGGAACTGTCGGTTTCACTATATTTCAATTGGTTGCTCAACTTGTACTACTGGTATACCACTTGAAATATAATATATGTATGGGTTGTCTTCACATTGTGATATACACAATAAGAATTAATAACGATCTTGATTTTTCACCATTTCGCCAGTGAAGAACCTCGTTCAGTTGGGCAAGCAGTGAATTATTAAAAATTAAAAATTTAGAGAGTCACTGTTTGGTTTTGCCGGAAGATAAAGTATATATACCGGGGGGTTATATATGTATATACCTTCGAGGTTGAAGAGGTGGGCGGAGAGCGGGTCTTGGGCACCGTTGACGGGTATGCCGCGGTTGCGAAAGACCGAAAAGTCCTTGACGCAGATGGACTTGACGAGGTCGGGGTCCCTGACAATGAGGATGGGCGAGCGCACCCTGAACACGCCAAAGTACCGCTCGTTGCCGAACCAGTTGTACATGTCGCTGAGCCCCTCGGCCTGGCATTTGCGGAAGAGCAGCAGATCGGCAAAGTTGCCGAGCAGGGGTGTCGGCTTGCGGTATGGCACGCCCCGCACCAGCCAGTAGTCGAAGGTCGAGGTCAGGTAGGCGTGAAGCGCGTACAAAAGAACCGCCACCAGCAGCAGGGGCGTCAGCTCGAGCAGCATGTCTTGCTGATGGGATTCTGAATGGTTTTTTTTTTTTTTTTTTTTTTTTTTTTTTTTTTTTTTTCTCTACCCAACAAGATAAACACGAGGTTACGCCGATTGTGAATGAAATCGGCAAAGGAAGCACTACCGATTACTCGTTAAAACGGGTGAAAGAGAAAATAATGGCAAAAACACTCACGAAGGAAGCTAGATGAAGAGTAGCCGCTCGTCGTAGGAGAGTCGCGGCTGTACAGTGTGCCATGTATTGGTGTACTTTTCGCATACGAAGCACCAATCGTGCGCTCCAGACTTTTCTCTCTTTCTTTTGTCACTTCCGGAGCGTCGGGTGCGCGTGATGTGTTTACATAATTATGTATTGCACGTAGGTATTACATACCTACCGATTGTTTCATTGATCATTTATTTGAGCATTAAACAATACTTGGTCAATGAAGGTGGATGGGTGTATACATCTTTTTTTATTTTGGTTTCATCTATAGGTCATTCTGAACAAAAAACAGATGCTAAAATTGAGTGATTAGGAGCATACATAGGGATCGTGTAGACGGACAGAAAAAAATAATGATAATAGTAGGGAGAATCTAGAAAAAATTACCATTCTGCACAATAAATCGGATGCAAGCGGGTGAAAAAGGCAAATAATTGTTGTTTTTAACGGTAAAAATTATGGTTCGAATTGTAACGAAGAATGCACATTTGTTTTCAAATTAAAAATAGAGAGTAAGACTTCAGGGGTCAAGCGTCGCTCTCTAAATTTAATTAGGGGATGATTTTTGAGTATTTAAAACAAGATAAGTATAAGTTGAAAGAAGCTTATAGCAGGAAAAGGTCTTTCGGCAAAAAACCTGATTTATTATGTCAAAGGGTTGTACTTTTAGTAAATCATGGGTGAGAATAACAAAATATACTCAAGTAAATTAATATTTGTGTAAGTATGTGGCGTTTAAAATAATAATTGTACTTTGTCAGGAACTATGGCTGCGATGAATCTGTCGCTTAGATTTATTTAACGTGAACAAAGATGCGAGCAAGGAGCTCGGCTTTTTTGGGTCTGCTGGCTAGTTATCGATGGGTGTGTAAAGTTAGTTTATACAATGAAGTAAGATGTTGTATGTTTGTCTAACAAATTTTTATAAAAAACCTGCAGGTAACTTTTGACACGCTGATTATTCATGACGACCTGACAACTGTAAATACAACCAATGAAGTGGGCGTATGAATGGGTAACGCAGAGGTTTTTATTATTTGAGGAATTTTATAGTTGGTGCTAAAATAACTCGATTTTCCACTTATGCTTAGTAGACTTTTTTTTTTGGGTTCATTTTTTTTCACGACGTCACATGAGTCAACAGCATGAATGCTCTCTAGCTGTCTTTTATTGTCTTTGATGAAAAGCAATCCATGTAGCTCATCGATACTCTTTTATTTGCTCATCATTAATCTCGACACTTTTAAACGGTTATAATTATTTTCGTTCGGTTTGTTGATTCAATAAATCAACACTTTGGCACACATACGCGTGTGAAACATCAATTAAACTCCAGCGGTTGAAAATGTATATAAATCGGTATCCAATAGTGCCGATCGTACAAAAAAGAAAAAAGAAAAAAGAAAAAAAAACACATCCTCACCTAGAATAACCATATCCAAGTATTTCATGTCCTGCACGGCCTCGTAAGTCAATGAGCCGTCGCGCTTGTCCAGAGCTTCGAGCACGTCTCGTCTGGTCCGTTCCTGGATTTTCGGGTCCACCGCCAACTCGTACAGACAGAAGGCTATCGTATTCTTGCTCGTCTCGTAGCCGGCAACGAAAAACACGAAGGCTTGCGCTGCTATTGTGTTTTCGTCGATAACTGCCATTAAAGNAAAAAAAAAAAAAAAAAAAAAAAAAAAAAAAAAAAAAAAAAAAAAAAAAAAACAGAAACATAAATAGATTGAGTAATCACGACGGATCATATTCTACCGATCGTTCATCGTATCTCCCCTTCAAAGGTAAAAAAAGGGATTCATCAGTCAAATACATTGCGATGTACGGAGGAAAAAAAAGGCTCCGTAAACATATAGGTAAACATCTACAGCGTCTCGGAGGAGCATCGAGAGCGATAGCAGATAGCGCGCGTGTACGAGAAACTAATAAGTATACGCAACGATAATATTGTATATTATATGTACGGGTTACGTTTGTTCGCGCGAATAAATAAATCGGATTGCGATCGCGCCTCGCATGATTCCGGGCCGTGAGAATGCATTGGCTGATCACTGGAGACCGAATCTTGAACTCATGCATTTTTTGTATTTGTACTTACAAATAATTTTATACTTAATATGTTTAGTCACAATATTTCGAAGGTGCGTGGATTGTTGCAGTACTGCGGGGAAAGCTTAATCATCGTGCTTCCGAGAAAGATTTCGTAGTTGGGACTTTATTTGAAAGACATTTTTTTTATTTTTTATACTCAATAATTTATAAGCCTTATACTCATTGGGGCAGGAAATATTCTAAAAATTATTGTTGTCCCTAGGAATGTTGGTCAGTAGTTTAGTAAAAGAGATAACGACTGAAATAGCGTTTTGACTCATTATCTTTTATAATTGCCACTGTAGTAAGTTTTTTTTTTAAGTAAGATTGATGCTAAAATTATTAAAAATCGGTTGGATAAACGTTTTACAAAGCAAGAGTAGACACACTTTTTTCTCCAGTATCAACTTTCCAGGAGTTTTCGAGATCGACGCAATTGTGTCGTAAGAAAATAAAATTGATATTCACTGATATCATGCATTTCGTTCGATTTTTATCAAATGAAAAACAAATTTTTAATGTTTTTATGGTAACCCCACCACGCACTCACAAGCAAAACATGTTTTTAGCTTCACTGGGAGTCCAGAAAAAAAAGTATTCAACCTATATTTTAAAATAAAAAAATTCCTAACGTACCGGAAAAGCAAAAACCACCTGCAATCGCGGACACTTATTTTGGTGATGTGCAACAACTCACAAACCGACCGTATTTCGTACAAACATTCATACATGCAGTTGGCGTGATGTGAATATCTCGGCGCAAAGTGGCGGACTGCATTTTGCTCGTTTGCCACAGCGTCATCAGCCGTGACGCTCAAATGAGTGTGTAATTGGAGTCTTGGAAGAAAAATATAAAATAGATGTAAAGGCCAACTCGATTTTCCCTACATGTATAACATGTTTTCCTTTCCTTTACATTTCCTCGGCTATGGCCAATCAACTTTTATTACAATTTTTTTTATCGAAAAAGAAAAACTGAAAGAAATAACAGAGATGGCACATTCTTTGGAGTCTCCGTGACTCTCTTACGTTCGATTTTTTCATCTTCTCCCACGAGGGTGTATACAGTTGAGTTAAAAAAAAAGTGGAGGCATTTGATAATAGCTCGACCGTTCGCTCATTTTCTGCACGTGTTTCGAGAACTGTTTTTTTTTTCTTTAAACAATCATCTTCAAGTGTAAATATAAAAATTGTGTTGCCAGATAACGCAGGGAGAGAATAAAAAAATGGCTTATGATGAAAAATTTTGTGGATGACTGGAAAAGCATTGTCGATTAACTTTACAGTTTCAGATCGATTATAAAAGATTGATTCTTTTGATGTGACGCGATGTAGTTTTCGTTTATATATTACTATATAATTATTCCCTTTTAGTTGTTTATTCCAAATTTATTTGGATATTCTATTTTTCAACTAGCATTTACTTTTCTCTATTATTTGACGTGTTTATTGGTAATACTTTGATGGAAAGAGAAAAACAAATTTTTCAACCTCATTGTATTTATTACAAACTCAAGAAGTGAAAATATAAAAGTATAGGTATTAAAAAGCAATAAAAATTATTTTAAAAAAAACAATTCATATAAAATTGATTAATTTAATCAAGTATTCTGTAATTATTTTTCAAATAAAAAAATTTACAGAAAAACCTCTCATTTATCTATAAACTGGTAAAATTGGAGAAAATGTGCATTTTATCGTTTTATGTAAAACAAAGAAATCTCCAGTTCACATGGTAGAATTCTGTCTTATCATTACTTTTAATTATAAGAGCTTTTACGGTTATCACAACGTACCTATCTCTTGAGCGATAGATAAAGTTATACAAATTTTACGAGTCGACATCAATTGCTCATAAACAGACGATTTTGAATGTTAAATGTTACATTCATTATGACATAAAAAAAAACGTCCCAACTCATTTTCCAAGCCAGACATGCCAATAAGTACAGTTTATTAAAATTTACGCCTGTACACATTTTATATGATGCTAATGTCGAGTATCCTTTGTCGCTTATAACTGACAGATCAGTGATTTTTTTAATAAAGTCCGCATAGGATAAAACTTCGTAGTGATTCTTATCGTTGCATATTTTACTGCCAACACTTATAAAAAAAGTTTTTATTGATAGCTCTTGCCGAATATTTTTTTTATCAAGAATTTTGCCTACTATGTAATAGCTGTTCCAAAATATTCTCGTAATCTAAATTACTTTTTTGTATAAAATCGTTGTTTTTTTTCACGTCCAGCGAACGTTGGAGCTGTTAAACAAGCTGTTGAAGAATGTTTTGAATCAAGCAAGTAAAATGAGTCAAAAAAGTTAATTCACTGAGTAAAATGTGAGATAAAATATCTTCCTTTTGAGTCATACGAGTCTTGTTGGTATATAAGTTTTTTAACTTTAAATGTGATGAATAGAAAGCCATTTAATCAGTTTACCGCCTATGTACATAACAAAAATTTACTCCTAGTTACCATTAAAATATTGTAATTGAATTTATGAATATTTGATAAAACTGAAATAATTTACTGTCAAAGAGGTCTTCTAGTGTTACTTTTTTATTTAATATTGACGCTACAATGTTTCCTTCACCAACGGGTAGTTTCACACAGCTAATGTTTTATCTTTGCATCTCTTAAAAACAATGTTGGAGTTGTACGAGGATTTCTATTGACCTAATTCATCAAAGTATAATTATATTTTTGTTAAAGAAGAAAAAAAAAAATGTATTTTTTAAACCTTTTTACTTTACAGCAACCCTGACCATCAATTTGTCTTATAATTAATCTTACCTAAAAAAAGTGCATTGTCCTATGTATTTTAATCGTTTGGTTAACGTATAGAGTCTTTATCACGCATTTTTCAAGGTCAACAACTTTTGCATCCACAATGGTGCTATGGAATGTACACTTTTAGGTGTGTGGAATATAAAACTTTTCCCCAAAAAAAAAAGTTACATAAATGTGCTTAGGGGACAACATTTGGACCATCCTCTTAAATAGTTTAAAGTAATTCAAAATTAACAAACACCGCAAAAAGTCGATGGTTTATCTGTAGTTGGACATTTTTTGCTCTAGTGAAAATATAAAGTATTGATTCAGAGAGCCACCGAACAATGTCACGAGATAAACTACGGCATAATTTGAGGAAAAGTAAATTTGTCCCATCAATAATCCAAGCACCTCGAGCATTATTTTTACGGCTAACACTGTCGTTTTTCATCTTCCCTTGAAATGGAGTAAAAAAAACGAATGAATGTTGAGTTTTAAATGTTATTGAATAAATTAAAAAAAAAAAAAAATACGAGTGCGTGTAATTATAAAACCGACCGGCCTTCACGGGCGAGACCATCAAAAAAGAGATGACATAGTACAAACGCACGACTACAAGAATATATATAAAGGATGGCCAAAGGCGGCGCAAAAGCTCAGTCCGCCCACGATGCACCGGTGCAGCGAGTCCAAACTTTCCTTCGCGTTTCGGCTGTTATTTTATTTTTCGAGTTATCTCAGTGTTACTTCAGCGGAAACTTACCTCGAGGCTTACACGAGGCTGCTGCAGAACAAGCGGTTCGAGGAAACATTCAGATCGTTGACTCCTGAAGCTATCATCGGCAATTTCAATGAGCGTAAAAATGAGACTGTAAGCGCACCTTGTGCCAGTGCACTAGCTCATTACGTCCGAGGGATAGGGCAGCGTGAGCCATGGGCTCTCAAAAGTAGGTTTATCTTGGATTGGAAAGGATTTCAGTGTAAAACAAGTAGGTGTTTGTTCAATGGTGAAGATAAAAAAAAAAAAAAAAAAAAAAAAAATGTTTACAGTGCAAGACGCCTCGTCCAAACTTCCATCGGGCATCATGACGGGCAACATCATGAACTTGGGGTCTTTCGACGAGTGCGTTGGAGCGAGGGGCCGATCAGCCGGTGTGGACATCCGCGGCCGGCATTGCATGTACGAGTTTAATTTGACGAGGAGCTATCGGGCGTTGCCTTACGACCCCACGATGTCGATTTGCCTGCCAAACAGCTGCACGGAGAGGGACTTGCTTTCTTTGATTGTGTCTACTGTTGGAGCGGCTGGCGATTCGGTGTTTTTGCCCACCAGAGCTAAGTGTGTTTCGGAGAGGGGAGAATTTTGGGATGGCGAAACGACTCTCGTGGTGTGAGTTGTTTGCTGTTTTGTTTTTCTTCTTTTTTTTTTTTTTTTTTTTTTTTTAATATTCACTCCGAGTTGTAACAATTTTTGTTATCTAGTTTCATTTGTGGCGCGTACTGCGGTTTCTTGCTTTTGTGTACAGTTTACGACGCAATGGGCAGGTGGTTGGCCGACAAGGATTGCAAGTCCGAGGATGAAAAAACGCTGGTGCGTTTTTCGTTGTTGAAAAATGCGGAGAGCGTCTTAACCACGGAATCACAAAAGAACAATTTGCCCGTCATCAATGGCTTGCGTTTCATTAGCACAATGTCGATTGTCATGGTTCACGAGTATTTTTTTCAAATTTTGGCGGTGAACTCGAATTTTTTTCATTTGTTTGAGGTAGCTTCAAAGCCATTAAAAAAAAAAAAAAAAAAAAAAAAAAAGTTTCATCATTTTCAATTTAATAGTTTTGTTCACTATTACGTAGTGGATGTCGTCCTGGACAGCTGTGTTATTTGTTGTAATGACGTTCTCCGTGGATACGTTTTTCACTCTAAGCGGGTTCCTCATGACCTATGGTTTTCATAGTCAAATTAAAAAAAATAACTTCAGTGCCATCAAAAGTATTTTGCATCGATTTATAAGGTAACAAAAAAAAAAAAAAATACAACGTAAATGAACCTTGTCAATTACATTCGTGCGCAATTTTACTCGTGTAATTTTTTTGTCCATAGAATGACCGGGCCAATCATACCGATTCTACTATTTGTCATGTTTATCATACCAAAGTATGGTTCTGGGCCACGCTGGCACGCCGTGGAGGATATATTTATAACATCGTGCCGAACAAAGTGGTGGCAAATTTTTTTGTACGTGCAGAATTACGTGGACATAGACAATTACGTTAGCACTTTCTCACTGTAATAATTATTTTTTTCCATCGTGACGACTTGTGATGTTTATCAGCTATCGTTTCAGTGCTTACTCCAACTGTGGAGTAATAACGTGGATATGCAGCTATTTATATTATCAATAGTAATTTTGTGCGTGACGTACAAAAGACGGAAAATTGGTCTAACGATTTTCGTTTCATTGATTGTAATATCGATTTCAATAACCGCGTACATTGTTGCCATAAATCGATACTCTTCGACAATAATCACCCACGAAGCAAAGTACGTAAACATAAAGTACCAAATATTCCCGAATGAGTAACCTAATTAATGTTTGTAATTTTTTTGTAGCTTTAATAGAATTCTAGAGGTATTTAACAATATTTACTTGGTCACCCACACTCGAGCCGCCCCTTATTTCCTTGGTGTTGTACTCGGGTTCATCATCGAAACCAACTGTAAATTATCGAAGGTGATTGGATTCATTTTGAATATTGTCTTTCATAAATATAAATCATTTTAAATATGTATAAATACTTTTTAGGTTTCTCGTAGCTTAGGATGGCTTGTTGCAACTGGTATCGTGATAACAATTTTCTTTGGGACCAAATTCGTATTGGATGCGAACTACAAATATATTCTACTATTGGAAATGCTTGGATCGTCTTCTGCTCGATTTTGTTGGTCGTTTGTCGTCTGTTGGATAATTTTTTCTAGTATTAACGGCTCTGCAGGTATGAAAACCGTACAACCATGGGAAACGCAATGAAAAAAATTGCAGCAATATTTTTGTTGTAATTTTGATATGATATTTTTCGTAACGTTAGATTGTGAAAAATATTTTTGATTGCAGGACCTTTACAAAAATTGTTTTCGTGGAAATATTTTCTGCCACTCAGTAAATTATCTTACTCCATGTTTCTCTTGCACATAATTTTCCCATTCATGCGAATGATGACCTCGAGAAATCCACTTTACATCAATGACTGGTTGACTGTAAGTATATTATCTTTACTTTTTACATCGTGTTCCTCGCGACGTACATTATTTTTTATTACAGACTCACTCGTACATCGGAAACCTTGTATTGAGCATCGTGTTTTCATTCTTTTACACCATCGCAGTTGAAATGCCAGTGTTTTCCATGGATGACTTACTTTTACGAAGAAAATGTTTACCTTCAAAGGAAGACGATTCACCTCGCCTCAGCGAACCAATGTCCAATGATTATACTATGACTGAGTTGAAGTAACAATGAATAAAATATGTATTCACTTTTGTGTATATAATACCCTATGCATGTATTTTCTTTATTGATGAACTTGTAATTTTTTAATTAAGGTACAAAAAAAACTATCCATCTATCTACACCATGTTAACTTTCAACTATAAAACTCACTTTCATACGCACATCATCTTGAATACGTTTACGTCATTTGTATTATTTGGGCTTTTCTCAATTTAATAATGATGAAATACGATTTCAATAGCTTTTAAAATTGATTGCCCCTGTTAGTTTTATTTTTGATCGTCTTGGGTAATTTTTATCAGTCGACCATTGAATATTTAAAATATTTAATATGCGTCATGTGGTGATGCGTAAAATTAGACTAGGCCATGCCTTTTTGTGAAATTCCAATACATTGAATGTATCTGTATATTCTATATACTATACGAGAGATCGGACCATTGTAACTTATCAAGTTTTTCACGCGGTATGCGAATCGACATCCGCATTCTCTGCGGCTTTAAGTATTTTTAGATATAGTACTTTTTTTAATTCATAAACGTCAACTTCAAAGTTTATTACTGTTACCTAATTTTAATTTGGAATTCAAAGATCAAAGAAATAAAAAATTGCAAAATAAACTATTCTACAATTTTTTACAGAAAAAAAAAATGTGTGCTTATCTGCGTGAATTTATTGGACCTACAATTGTTTATTTTGAAACGTTGTGTGTGTTTGGTCAATGCTCTCATCACCTTAAAAGTGTTGAAGAAAATATAATTATTATTTAAAAAATTTTTTTTTTTCTTTTTAGTATTATTCGTAAGGGTTGAATGAAACAAAAAAATGCTAATGCCCATATAAACCAAGAGCGCTTAGCGATTTTTTGAGATTTTGGGATGAAACTTTTCTAGAGGGGGTTGTCATGAAATTGTAAAACAAACAAAGTACTAAAAAAAAAGCAAGAAAATTAGAGTTAAAAACAGAGTGGCCTCTTGTGCAACGCAAGCATGTTCTTCGCAGTCGAAAAGCACAAAACACTGCTGAGGTACGAAATGCAGCCGCACCGAGTCTCAAATCCTCGCGATGCACCGGAGTAGCCGGTCCGTCCTGCATAATACGCTTGTGTTCGCGTTTCTTGCCGTGATGTAAGCCCGCAGCCTCGGTGGAAACACTTTCACGGAAGCTTACACAAGGCTATTACAGAACCGGCAATTTGAAGAAATATCTAAATCGCCGACTACCGTAACTATCACGGATTATTTTCATATACGTGACGATCAAGCCGTAAGCACACCTTATGGTTGGCGCGAGAAATCAGAGAACGGAAGAGTACGCGCATTTTGGATTTTACGTATAAATTGTCCGCATACAAATTTTTTCATTTCTTCAGTAAAATGTTCTTTCAACTTTTTTTTTCTGACGTGCTAAAATGAGTTTATGATAATTTACACAAGTTTGGATCACCACTTCGACTGTTAATATAAAAGACAAATCCATAAAGAATCGTCCCTTTATTTACCATTTGTTATACGAGTTTCTGAGATGTAGAACCATCGGCTCTAAAGCCAATTTATGTCCATTTTGATAAGCTCAATATTTTACCGAAGTACAGTAAAAAAAGTGTAACATTTCGACGGATGTAAATTTTACTAGTCAATTTTTTGCAAAGTTCAGCAGCGTTGAATTGAAAAAATCTTTAAAAAATTCGCTAGTGCCAACAAAATATCGAAACGACAGTCAGAGGACCGGGACGGACGTTTTTTTACAGTTGCACCTTTTGCCCATGGATCATTGATTGAACGATAGCCATTTACCTTTTTTGGAAAAAGGTAAACCTAGGAAAAAAAGAAAAAAACGTATCAAAGTGACAAAACCGCACCAATTACTACCGAACGAGCGTCTACATCGGTGCACCGACCAAAACCTCAATTCCAGCGTCAAAGTTTCATTTTCACGCGGCGCGTAGAGCGAGTGAAAGCCCCATTACAAGCGAGCACGGCTCTCCTATCATCCAAGAGGACCAAAAAGGAAAGAAGAAAAAAAAAAAAAAAAAGGCAACAGATCCGAGTCGTAAGCGGCATCGGGTAAGCAGGCACCGGCTATCCATAGACGCATTATGCACATTCACCGCGATACACCGTAAGCACACAGAGCTCGCGCAAAGCGGCTATGGTTTCGCGGGCAGTTGGAGAGCGCGACTCGCTTGAAATGCACCGGCTCGACGTCACGGTCCTGCAGCTCTCGCTCGTACTGCCGTGGATCATCTTGGCCGGCGCTGCCGACGCTCCCGCCGGTCTCCTACAGCGGGATCGGCTCGTGGAAAAGTTCGGACTCCTCGCGCCCGAGGCCTTGCTCGCCAATTACCGGCTCGCCAGTGTCAAGGACGACCAGCGTGCCAACGGCTCCTGCGCCCGCGCTCTCGACACTTACACTCGGGCCATCGACCGAAGAGAGCCATGGGCCTTGAAAAGTGAGCACAACCACAACAACAACAATAACAATAATAATGATGATGGTATGATTTTTGCGACCATACAAGTGCTGGACGCGTCGTCGACCACGCCGTCGGGCATCCTCGAGGGCAACATCGTGGAGTTGGGCTCTTACGACGAGTGCGTGCGAGTGAGGGGCGAATCGGCGGGCTTGACGATCAGGGCCCAGCACTGCATGTACGAGATCGGGGAGATCCGCGAGCGCAGCATCATACCGTACAACCCAACCATGTCGATTTGTCTGCCGCGCAGCTGCACCGTCGACGATCTCGCTCGCCTCGTCAGGGCCACCGCCAACGCGACCGGCAAATCGAGGGACCATTCGACGACCTTACCGGTCTCTGCCTCTTGTACCAACGAGGAGTGGACGTTTTGGGACGCGGAACTCCTCGCCCTCACGTGAGTGTTGCGCTATCATACACCTACATTTGCAACTCCAGTGTAGCGCTTGGGTAAACGATCGTTGCCTCGCCACTGTCTACGTATATATATGCATGGACCGAGAGAGCGAGAGCGAGTGAAAGTCCCCCGTAGGTCTGTTGTAGGCGTCTACGTTGGCTTTCTGATCCTCTGCACGATATGCGATCTCACGGAGAGATGGTCCACGTCGGGTAAGCCTCGGGGAGAGGCCGGAAAATTGGCGAGGTTTTCCTTCGTAAGGAGTACCCAGGCGGTTCTCACTCTCAGGCCCCAGTCGAGCAACGTCCCCGTCATCAATGGCATAAGGTTCATCAGCTCGTTGTCGATCATCCTGTTGCACGAGTACATTTTCTTCGGCCTCGTGGTCAACTCCAATGTCTTTTACATTTACGAGGTGCGTTTGTATATTGGATGTATCATCGAGGAGTCGTCAATGATGGTGAGTTTTATTTTTGGATTTTCCACAGTGGTTGTCCTCGTGGAGGTCGGTCGTGCCGTTGCTCACCAGCTTCTCCGTGGACACGTTTTTCACGCTCAGTGGGTTTTTCATGGTCTGCTCGTTCCACAAGCAAGTTGCGAGGGACGACTTCAACGTGATGCGCTTTTATCTGCATCGGTTCATAAGGTGATCAGGATTTATGAGAAAAAAAAAAAAAAAACAATTAGCTTACATAGTTTATTTGGACTTTATTAATATTGATGCGCGCTCAGATTGACGGTGCCAATAATACCGATAGTCTTCATCGCAATTGTCGTGCTGCCGAAACTGGGCTCGGGGCCTCGGTGGCAATGGACCAAAGAGATATTTCTAACGAGTTGCCACTCCAAGTGGTGGTCGCTGCTGCTTCACGTGCAAAATCTCGTTCAAGTGGACAATTACGTAAGATTTTTTCTTTTCTTCTTTCAATCACGTATACGCTTGTTTGCAATTTTACACAAACTAGATCCAATTTGTACCGATATCTAGTGTTTGCTTGAACTGTGGAGCTGCAGCGCGGACATGCAGTTGTACACTGTATCGCTGCTGATTGCTTATACCTTCCGAAAGAAACAAGAAACGGCGATAAAAATTTTTGCCATGTTGGTGGCGACGTCAATGATAGCCACTGCGAGTATCGTTGGGCTCAACGGATATTACACGACTTTCATATCGCACGAAGTTAAGTACGTTAGCGATAGACGGTTGACGGTACTTTTTATTCACTCATCATATTTCTTTATTTACTCATTTCAGCGTGAAATTCGTACTGGAGTCATTCAATAACGTTTACCTGATGACTTACACCCGATCGTCTCCATTTTTCATAGGTGCTCTTTTTGGGTACTTGGTGCAAAACAAAAATTTTAAACTGACAAAGGTGATTGTTAAACGGGTTTCTCAAATATTTAAACGAAACACCATACGTTTGAAAACAATCGTTGCCCATGTATGTAAAAATTTCAAGTGTAATTTCTTCTAGTCCGTTGCTCGCAGAGGCTGGATACTGACTATCGTTGGCTTTCTAACGTATCCGATCGCACTGAGGATTATATCAGACGTGAACTATAAGTACACGTTAATTTTTGAAATGTTCAGCTCAGCTTTCTCGAGACCCGTTTGGTCGCTTATGATTTGCTGGATTATTTGGTCGAGCGTTAATGGCGTTGCAGGTATGAACAACCAACCGTTGGGTACATGCAATTTGAATATTCTCGTTTTATCGCGTAATAAGTATATTTACGCGAAATAAAGACAATTACCGTAATTGACTGCACGTGTTTTTTACAGGACCAGTAGTAAATTTTCTATCTTGGAAGTACTTCCTGCCTCTGAGTCGACTTTCTTATTCCATTTATTTGGTGCATCTCGTTTTTCCTATATTTCGTACAATGACTTCGAAAAATTCATGGTACTTCAGCGATTTGATATTGGTGGGTATATTTTTATCTATTTTTTTTTTCAATATGCTCAATTAATCATTAAAACTTTTTTTATTAATTTTTCAGATGCATTCTTTTCTTAGTAATCTTATGTTGAGCATCATACTGGCATTTGTGTTCTGTATTACATTTGAAGTACCGGTGTTTGTTTTGGATGATCTGATAATAAAAGGAAAAAGCAGAACTTTTGGTAAAATTGAGAAGCTAAATGTTAAAGACACGAAATGTCACGATGAATGACAATACCTCGCTAGTGTTGTATTTGTACGATATTTAACTGTTAATTCTTATAAAATCCATCTCAAGTAAACCTTATCTTTGTTGAATAATTTGAAAAATGAGAGGAAATTTTAGTATCGTGACTTTGTTTTGGTATTTCGCATTTATCGATTTTTTGAAATGTCTCATTATTCTGTGTATGGTTTTTTGCTGCTTATTGATACCTACAAAATTAATAGTAAGTAAATGGCTTAGCAAGATTGTTATTAATTATTAATATGAGCAAGTAAAAAAGAAATATGAGAATTTCTTATTTTCATTGCTTATTCACTTTCTCTTTAAAATACAAGCATGCCACAAATCAAGAGAAATCTGAATAAATAATTATTTAGATTGTCTATACAATTATTCAAGCATCTGACAAATAAAATAAATGTTATTTTCTTTTCCATGAAATATTTTTAGTTATGTATTCACTAAATTATTTATGTAAATTGTAACACTGCTTCTTGACCTGAAATAAAACGAGGCGCCGACGCAGCATTAGCAAATCTCGATCACGTTCGTCACCGTCGTCCCTCTCACCTCTTGGGTTTCTGCTCCTGAAAAAGGGGGATTGGCGCGGGAGTTCTCCCGTTCTACGGAAAGAACTATTAATTTACATACAACAAATACCTTTCACTATTTCTTTTATTGAACACTTAACACTAATACACAGTCTCCCTCTCCTCACCATACACGACACAATGCTTCACCTCGTCTTCTGGACTGCGCTGCAGCGACTCCGCCTCGCATATGCGAGTTGTGAGCGCACGTCCACCACGTCCTGGACCAGGAGGGGCTCCTGCTCGTCCTAGACTCACCCTACTATGCCCGCACTCACATTCCGTCCCCAATCTCTCACACTACTATACACGCTCTCTCTCTCTCTCTCTCTCTCTCTCTCTCTCTCTCATCGGTTAATGAAAATGAATATGTGTTTGTTGAGTTGTCCTTACTAATGTCACCAAAGCTCTTGTTGGCTGTGGTATATAGGCGCCCTAAAGGCGAAGTACTCTCGAAATTTTTTGAAGCCCTCGGTAGGTGTTCTACGTGTTATTCGAACTTGGTCATTGCGGGCGATTTGAATACCGATATGTAAGGTACCGATTTTTATTCAGCTCATCTTCGTGGGCTCCTTACGGATCATTCACTGGTTTTGGTAGAGTTTGCGGCTACGCATCATCGAGGGACCGTGAGTACTTGGATATACCATATCGTGGTCGATTCCAAGGATAAAATATTATCAGTTGGGCAGTCATCGGCACCGTTTATATGTGAACATGATTTCATTTATTTGGACTGTAGGATCGAGGTGGTACGCGAGATTAGTGTGGTTAGAAGGTTGCGCGATTTCCGACATTTTTCGGCCGAGAGGTTCTCGACTCAGCTCTCTGCGGCTATGGACCAGGCGTCGGACGTATTATACAATGGCGACTTAAACAGTGCTCTCGCGGGTTTTCGGGAGATTGCAGTGGGTCTCCTGGATTCTATGGCTCCTTTTCGTGACTGCCGTTACCGCAGGCCTCCGGTGCCTTGGTTCACGAACGATTTGAGGAATCGTTGCAAGGCTCGCGATCGCACGTATAAGAGAGCGAGGCGAGCTGGTGATGATGATTTGCTGCGGGGGTATAGAGTGCTTCGCAGGCTGGTGAAGGCTGAAATACGGCGTGCTTGGGAGACCTTTCTTCGCCAGGAGCTGTCGAGGGCTGTTTCCCCGCAATCATCGTGGCATGTTTTGCGCCGATATGGTCTGGTTGCTGGTGGGCCCCCCTCGCAGGCAAGCAATTTTCCGCCTGATTTATTGACGGGATTTTATTCCTCTATTGCATGTGCTCATGACCCATGCTCTATGGAGGACCTCGATCGTATGGTCAGTGATGCTTCTTGCGATGGTTTCGCGTTTCGTCGGTTTACCGAGATTGAGGTCCGACAGGCGATGTTGCATTATCTCTCGAGGGCAAAAAGTCTGAATAATGATGGGCTGTCGTTGCGTTATTTTAAGGATGTACTTTCCATCATATCGCCTTTTTTGTACATATATTTAATGTCTCATTGGCCACCTGTACATACCCGAATCTGTGGAAAGTTTCAAGTATCGTGCCGTTATCGAAGGTTAAAAACCCCTCTGGCCCCTCGGAAACTCGCCCGGTGGCCAATCTGCCTCATTTTGGTAGGGTGCTGGACTACTTGATTGCCGAGCAAATTTATGATTATTTGGAAGGCGCCTCGCTCCTATCACCTTTTCAATCGGGTTTTCGGCGAGGGTTTAGTACCCAGACAGCTCTGCTGCGGGTGACTGACGACATTCGATGGGGTATGGATAGGGGAATGATAACTTTCTCTGTTTACTTCGATTTTAGAAAGGCCTTCGATACTTTGGATCACCGTAGACTCTTGTCAGGGCTCAAACAGCTAAATTTTACTACTGACTCAATTCGTTTTGTACACTCTTTTATATCAGGACGCTCTCTATCGCTGATAAATGGTAGTGGAGGTATGGCCGAGCCTCGTAGCGTTACCTCAGGAATCCCTCAGGGATCGTCGCCTGGCCCGGTACTGTTTCTCGTCTACATTAACTCTGTCATAGAGTGTCTTAAATATAGTAAAGCTATGCTCTTTGGAGACGACTTCCAGTTGTACATCCAGTGCCTGCCTGGAGATATACCGGATACTATTAGGAAGTTTAATATTGACATAAGTGCTGTCGATTGTTGGACCAATAATCATGGACTGTCGTTTAATTTTTCTAAGATAAAAGTACAATTGTTGGCAACGCCTCAGTTGCTGAGGACGATAGATTATTCGGACATACCACCAATAGTTGTTCATAATACAGTGGTGCCCTTCGTTAAGTCGGTTAAGAATTTAGGTCTTATTATCACCAACGATCTTACTTGGAACGCCCAGGTTTCTCGGGTTTGTTCGGCTGTCCACGGTGTATTGCATAGGCTCCGGTTTAGGGTGGGTTCGTTGTCGTGGTCAATGAAGAAAATGCTTGTGGCTGCACTTGTGCTCCCCCACTTCGATTACGTGTCTCTGGCCTACTTGGACCTTTCGCAGTATCTCCAGCTCAAGATACACCGTTTGTTTAATACAGTTGTAAGATTCATTTTTGGGGTAGGCCGCGACGCTGAAATGAGACCTTTTTACCGGCAGCTCGACCGTTGGCTGACTGTTGGGGCCCGGAGGAAATACCTTCTGGATTGTATGATTTATCGGTTGCTTACCTCAGGGAAGCCGAAATACTTGGTGGACCTATTTCCGCAGACCGAGGGCCTGAGGAGATCTGCTAGGCGTGTTACGTCTGGCTATTTTATACCTTTCGCACGCACAGTCACGTATGAGCGTTCTTTTGTCATAAGTGGTCTAAAATTATGGGAGGAGATTCCTGGGCCTGTGAAATTGAAGGTCACTTACGAATCTTTCAAAGTTGCGCTTTTCGAACATTTTTTTAATGATTGATTTTGAGAGTACATTATAAATGTTGAGATAGATTTTGAAGCATATATACTTACATATACATATACGAAGTTGTGGGTACACTTACTGGACACACAATAATTTTAATTTATGTATTTTATTTTGACAGATAATTTTATATTAATTGTTATGGGAATGCGTCTCATTGATTGTTCTAATAGTCTGTTACTTATGCCAGAAATTTGTTATATTGTGTATTTATGCTTGTTTTATATAATAATGTTTGTAAATCCTTTTGTATTTTTTTTACATTGCCATACGGTTTATTAAACCTTGGCATTAATAAATTTGTTTTCATCATCATCATCATCTCTCTCTTCTTAACCGTCACCAGGCCATTGGGGGGGAGGGGGAGGGGGACGCTGTCTCTGGCTGGTGCTCTGCTCCTGTGGGCGTACCTCAGGGCAGCGTCCTTGGCCCTCTCCTTTTTTCACTTTACATAAATGACCTCCCGGCCTCCTTATCCCACACAAACCACATGATCTATGCCGACGACACCCAAATTTATCTCCACTGTCCATTCGCCTCCATTAATCAGGGCATTGCTCGCCTGAATCGCGATCTTGAATCGGTGGCATCTTGAGCCCACCAAAACGGCCTTCAACTCAACCCACTAAAATCTAGGGCCATGATTCTGGGCAGCCTTGCCTACATCACTCGTCTCGACCTATCATCTCTCATCCCCATCCACATCCATGGTGTACAGATCCCCGTTGTGGAGAGGGCTACAAATTTGGGGATAGTTTTCACTCCAACACCACACTGGACTTCTCAAATAAACAGGATCAATCAGAGAGATCATCAAACATTGCGATCGCTCAGATTTCATAGACACCCTGACACGTGGCCTCAGAAAGTCGCTCGTTGAGATCCTCGTCTTTCCCCATCTAGACTATGCCTCGTCTGTATTCTTCAACCTTGACACTACTCGGAATCTAAAAATGCAACGGGCTTGTGTTGTGGGCTCGTTACCGAGAATTGCACACGTCACACCTTGGAGACTACAGTTGGGCTGGCTCTCGGCGCGACGCAGACAGGAATATCATCTGGGGTATCTGGCCTCCAACATCATTCGTCATCAATGCCCCGCATACCTCGCAAATCGTTTTCGCCCTGCATCTCAAATAGCCTCATCTCAACGCAACCTACGTCGCCCTCATCCCATTTCATAGTTCCACCCTCCCGCACCAGAGCACGAGATGATGCCTTTTACATTCAAGTCTCAGAGCTTTTAAACTCACTTGCGCCCATCAACCTTGATGACTACACCTACCAGACCTTCAAAGCCATGCTACAGGATACCCTTCTGCGGCGTGATCAGAACGAGTGGAACGAGCGCGTGGAGCGTGAGTGCATAGTCCTGCAGGTCCAGCCTGTCGGGCCTTCTGATAGTGCGGGCAGCCCGATGGTGTAGTCAGCCTTCTACTGCACTCATACATCTCACAACCAGATACCTCGAGCCCTACGTTATTCACCCGCTTTGTTACGCGCCGTTATTA